TGTCGACCTACGTGGCTTTACCGAAATGATTTAAGAGTGTGGATTCTCAGCGGTCATGAAAACTTCGAATCGAGATTTCAAAAGTTTTGTTCACGACGACGGCATTCGCCCTCGTGGCTGCTGCTTGGACGACACGTCGACGGGATCAAGTTCAAGTTCATTGATTAGGTACAAGCCCTGTGAGCCATTCGGCTCTTGAATCGGGTGCAACCGCAACAAACAAAAAACATGAACATGAACAAGAAACCATCTTAAAGTGACTAAGTGCAAACAGAAAATGTGTGTGAGTGAGTGGGTGTGTGAGTGAGTGAGTGAATGAGTGGGTGTGTGAGTGAGTGTGTTGTTGAGTGAGTGGGTGATTGGGTGAGTGGGTGGGTGAGTGTGTTAGTGGGTGGGTGAGTGTGTGGGTGAGTGAGTGAGTGAGTGGGTGGGTGAGTGGGTGAGTGAGTGGGTGGGTGAGTGGGTGAGGAGGATCAAGTTCAAGTTCATTGATTAGGTACAAGCCCTGTGAGCCGTTCGGCTCTTGAATCTGTTGCAACTGCAACAAACAGAAAAACAAAAACACGAACAAAAAACATCTTAAAGTGACTACGTGACTGAGTGCAAACAGAAAATTCAAGAAAAGACAGTAAAATATTGCAGAATAAGCACCGTGCACAAAAATGTGCAAAAATCCCAGTGGGATGCAAGTCAAACAACAACAACCACAAGACAACTTATATTAAGGCCATCAGTCTAACTCTGTACTACAACAAACAAACATGGCTAAACCAAAAAACTAAACGAAAATCACCAAAATAAAGCCATAAAAGCAATGAAACAGTGATCATAGGAACTGTGACCGAATTTTCACAATAAACGACCTAAACAACATGTACCACCTTTCGATTTAAAGCTTTCGTGACTGCAGGGATTCATCTTCGTGGTTCTTTCGGTAAAGTCACGTAGAAGGGAAGTATTATATTATTTTATTATGTTTTATTTTTATTATTTCATTACTTCCCTTCTACGTGACTTTACCGAAAGAACCGAGAAGAACATGTACCACCACCAAACTCTACAGAGATGATCCGCGCCATGTGGGCTGAGAAGTTTGTGTGCGCGGCGGTGCAATTTTTTAACTTCCGTTTATTCGGGGAACCCTGGAGGTCCCGCTATGAGGTTCATTTCCTACCCCCCCCCCCTTTTTCAGGCATAGCTGTCAACGCCACTGCTATCTATATGGTGGATGTCAGGATCGTCGGCTCGTATCAACCGGATGCTCAGATGCTCCAGTTCGGGACGATTTGCGGTGGCCAATACAACGTCTCCGTCACGAGCTTCAGCATCCTGAGCTGTAAGTTCGACAGAGTGGAGTAGAGTTTGTGTGATCTTCACCTGTTCTACAGAGTGAGTGAGTAGAGTTTGTATGATCTCCCCCTGTTCTACAGAGTGAGTGGAGTGGAGTTTGTATGATCTCTCCCCTGTTCTACAGAGTGAGTGAGTGGAGTTTGTATGATCTCCCTCTGTTCTAAAGAGTGAGTGAGTGGAGTTTGTATGATCTCCCCCTGTTCTACAGAATGAGTGGAGTTTGTATGATCTCCCTCTGTTCTACAGAGTGAGTGAGTGGAGTTTGTATGATCTCTCCCCTGTTCTACAGAGTGAGTGGAATTTGTATGATGTCCCCCTGTTCTACAGAGTGAGTGAGTGGAGGTTGCATGATCTCCCCCTGTTCTAAAGAGTGAGTGAGTGGAGTTTGTATGATCTCCACCTGTTCTACAGAGTGAGTGAGTGGAGGTTGTATGATCTCCCCCTGTTCTAAAGAGTGAGTGAGTGGAGTTTTTATGATCTCCCCCTGTTCTACAGAATGAATGAGTGGAGTTTGTATGATCTCTCCCCTGTTCTACAGAGCGAGTGGAGTGGAGTGGAGTTTGTATGATCTCTCTCGTGTTCTACAGAGCGAGTGAGTGGAGTTTGAATGATCTCCCTCTGTTCTACAGAGTGAGTGAGTGGAGTTTGTATGATCTCCCTCTGTTCTACAGAGTGAGTGAGTGGAGTTTGTATGATCTCCCTCTGTTCTACAGAGTGAGTGAGTGGAGTTTGTATGATCTCCCTCTGTTCTACAGAGTGAGTGAGTGGAGTTTGTATGATCTCTCCCCTGTTCTACAGAGCGAGTGGAGTGGAGTTTGTATGATCTCTCTCGTGTTCTACAGAGCGAGTGAGTGGAGTTTGAATGATCTCCCCCTGTTCTACAGAGTAAGTGGAGTGGAGTGGAGTTTGTATGATCTCCCCTGTTCTACAGAGCGAGTGGAGTGGAGTTTGTATGATCTCCCCCTGTTCTATAGAGTGAATGAATGGAGTTTGTATGATCTCCCCCTGTTCTACAGAGTGAGTGAGTGGAGTTTGTATGATCTCACCCTGTTCTACAGAGTGAGTGAGTGGAGTTTGTATGATCTCTCTCCTGTTTTACAGAGTGAGTGAGTGGAGTTTGTATGATCCCCCCTGTTCTACAGAGTGAGTGAGTGGAGTTTGTATGATCTCTCTCCTGTTCTACAGAGTGAGTGGAGTTTGTATGATGTCCCCCTGTTCTACACAGTGAGTGAGTGGAGGTTGCATGATCTCCCCCTGTTCTACAGAGTGAGTGAGTGGAGTTTGTATGATCTCCCCCTGTTCTACACAGTGAGTGAGTGGAGGTTGCATGATCTCCCCCTGTTCTACAGAGTGAGTGAGTGGAGTTTGTATGATCTCTCTCCTGTTCTACAGAGTGAGTGGAGTGGAGTTTGTATGATCTCCCCCTGTTCTACAGAGTGAGTGGATTGGAGTTTGTATAATCTCTCCCTGTTCTACAGAGCGAGTGAGTGGAGTTTGCATGCTCTCCCTCTGTTCTAAGAGTGCGTGGAGTGGAGTTTGTATGATCTCCCCTGTTCTACAGAGTAAGTGAGTGGAGTTTGTATGATCTCCCCCTGTTCTACAGAGTGAGCCGAGTTTGTATGGTCAGCAGTGGTCATAGCAGTCGTAGTGTTGCTTGGGAGAGCAGTTGGTGATAGCAGTCGTAGTGATGAATGGGGCATCTGTGGTAACAGCAGTCGTGGTTATGATTGGTAACAGCAGTGGTGATAGCAGTCATAATGATGATTGGGGCATCAGTGGTGACAGCAGTCGTGGCGATGATTGGGACAGCGTTGGCTGACGGCAGTCGTTTGCGATGCAGCGTGCCGTGCGAGTGCCCAGGTCGAGTGCTGCTACTGCTACGGCGAGTTCCTCCACTGGGCTCCTGCCACTTGCGGCTCGTCCAAGCCGTGCCCGGACGGCACGAACTGGACCCCCGGGCCGACCACCTCCTCCTCCTCCACCTCCAACTCATCCTGCCAGTGCATCCAGGGGCCCCTGACGGACGGGACGCAATGCATGGGCAGGAGAAACGTGACGCTGGACCCCAACGTTGATTGTTACTTCACCACCGCCAGCACTGCCACCACCACCACCACTACCACCACCGCCACCACTTCCAGCACCACCAGCACCACCACGACTATGACCACAACTACCACTGCTATCACCACTGCTGGGCCAATCACCACTACGACTGCTATCACCACTGATGCCCCAATCACCACCACGACTGCTACTACTACTGCTCCCCCAATCACCACCACGACTGCTACTACCACTGATGCCCCAATCACCACCACGACTGCTACCACCACTGCTGCCCCAATCACCACCACGACTGCTACTACCACTGATGCCCCAATCATCACTACGACTGCTTCTACCACTGCTGCCCCAATCATCACCACGACTGCTACTACCACTGATGCCCCAATCACCACCACGACTGCTACCACCACTGCTGCCCCAATCACCACCACGACTGCTACTACCACTGCTGCCCCAATCACCACCACGACTGCTACCACCACTGATGCCCCAATCATCACTACGACTGCTTCTACCACTGCTGCCCCAATCATCACCACGACTACCACTGATGCCCCAATCACCACTACGACTGCTACCACCACTGATGTCCCAATCACCACCACGACTGCTACTACCACTGATGCCCCAATCATGACCACGACTGCTACCACCACTGATGCCCCAATCATCACCACGACTGCTACTACCACTGATGCCCCAATCACCACCACGACTGCTACTACCACTGCTGCCGCAATCATCACCACGACTGCTACTACCACTGATGCCCCAATCACCACCACGACTGCTACCACCACTGCTGCCGCAATCACCACCACAACTGCTACCACCACTGATGCACCAATCACCACCACGACTGCTACCACCACTGATGCCCCAATCACCACCACGACTGCTACCACCACTGATGCACCAATCACCACCACGACTGCTACCACCACTGCTACCCCAATCACCACCACGACTGCTACCACCACTGATGCACCAATCACCACCACGACTGCTACCACCACTGATGCACCAATCACCACCACGACTGCTACTACCACTGATGCCCCAATCACCACCACGACTGCTACCACCACTGCTGCCGCAATCACCACCACAACTGCTACCACTACTGATGCACCAATCACCACCACGACTGCTACCACCACTGATGCCCCAATCACCACCACGACTGCTACCACCACTGCTGCCCCAATCACCACCACGACTGCTACTACCACTGCTGCTCCAATCACCACCACGACTGCTACCACCACTGATGCCCCAATCACCACCACGACTGCTACTACCACTGATGCCCCAATCATCACCACGACTGCTACTACCACTGATGCACCAATCACCACCACGACTGCTACCACCACTGATGCACCAATCACCACCACGACTGCTACTACCACTGATGCCCCAATCACCACCACGACTGCTACCACCACTGCTGCCGCAATCACCACCACGACTGCTACCACCACTGATGCCCCAATCACCACCACGACTGCTACCACCACTGCTGCCCCAATCACCACCACGACTGCTACTACCACTGCTGCCGCAATCACCACCACAACTGCTACCACCACTGATGCACCAATCACCACCACGACTGCTACCACCACTGATGCCCCAATCATCACTACGACTGCTATGACCACTGATGCCCCAATTATCACTACCACTGTTATCACCACTGCTGCCCCAATCATCACCACGACTGCTACTACCACTGCTGTCCCAATCATCACCACGACTGCTACCACCACTGCTGCCCCAATCACCACTACGACTGCTATCACCACTGCTGTCCCAATCATCACCACGACTGCTACCACCACTGCTGTCCCAATCATCACCACGACTGCTAGCACCACTGCTGTCCCAATCATCACCACGACTGCTGTCACACTGAGCACAACATTAACAACAGTTGCGGGCAACACAACCGCTCCCGTCGCAACCAACACGACCGTTCCGGCGACAACCACCGGGTTCGCGAGCAGCACGACCGCCTTTGTCTTCCCTGTGACGACGACGTTGGCTATGCCAAGTGTGACAACCGCAGCAACAACAACAACAACAAACGGAACGGCAGCAACCGCCACCACCACCGCCACCACCACCGCAGCAGCGATGCCGACCACTTCCACAGCAACAGCCGTCTCGCAGCGGCCATCTTGTCCCACTGTGGATGGTAAGGGCAGCCATTTTGTCGTGTTTTTGACAAGCGCACTTCGTAATTTATTTCTCTTCACTTTGAAACCCAACTTTTTGTTGCCGTGGCGATGATGAGCAAGCGTGCGTCATGGGCTTGTCATCCGTTGACGTGTTTGGTCGTGATGATAGCAGTCGTGGTGATGATTGAGTCGACCTAGGGGAGGCCCAGGACTGGTTCAGATAATTGTCACGGGCGGTGTTGGCCATGAGCGGGAATCAAACTCGGGTCGCCGGGTTCATAGTGTACACACTCACAGACACACACACACACACAGACACACACACTCACAGACACACACACACACAGACACACGTACAGACACACACACTCACAGACACACACACACGTACAGACACATACACACACAGACACACACACTCTCACGGACACACACACACACAGACACACATACACAGACACACGTACAGACATATACACACACAAACACACACACAGACACACACACTCACAAACACACACAGACACACTCACAGACACACACACACATAGAGACACACGTACAGACACATGCACACACAGACACACACACACACACAGACACACACAGACACACAAACACGCACGCAGACACACAAACACACACACACTAAGGCGCACAGACACACACACAGACACACACACAGACACACACACACAGACACACACACACACAGACACACACACAGACACACACACAGACACACATCACACACACCACACACCACTCGCCCTCCCACGTGACCACAGCACCACCAAACCACCCGCGGTTCAAATCTCCCCGCCACGGATGCGCGCCACCCAATCTCAACTGGGTGGGTGGGGGGGACCGTGGGGAGGTGGGGCGAGAGCGGGGGGAGGGGCGAGAGTGGGCGTGTTCATGGTGGGAGTGGCCAAGTGCTTCACATCAATGGCAGCCATACTTTACTAATAGGGGTTTTTCCCCTTTTTTTCTGGCAACAAAACTGACACCTTTTGCAAGGAATCATGCTTACATTAACCACAATACTTGTAGTCAAATGCAAACAAAAAATAATACTCTGATATCATCTTGGTTCTTTCGGTCCTCAGGTGACGGCTGCTTGCGTTGTGGCCAAAACGTCGTGAGAATTATTTTATTATGTTTCATTTTTATTATATTATTACTACCCTTCTACGTGACTTTACCGAAAGAACCAAGAAGATGAATCCCTGCAGTCACGAAAGCTTTAAATCGACAAAATACTCTGATAATTTATGCATTGTCTTTGAAACTAGCTGCTCACCCCGAGCTCGCATTACTCTGGTAGTGCGTTGTCTTTGAACTGTGCGCCTTTTGGTGTCATCTGGTCGAACACCATGTGAGACTAGGCTCTAAAGAAAACTGTCTCTGGTGTCGACCAATCAGTTTCAAAGACAATGCATACATTATCAGAGTATTGTTTTTTGTTTGCATTTGACTGCAAGTATTGTGGTTAATGTAAGCATGATTCCTTGCAATAGGTGTCAGTTTTGTTGCCAGAAAAAGGGGAAAAACCCTATTAGTATATTTTGGTACTGGCAGAGGAGGTCCCATGAGGCAGCCATACTCTTTCGTTCTTCCGGTAAAGTCACGTGGGTAGAAACATAATAGATCACGACGTTTCGATCGCAACACAAGCAATCGTCATCAGGTGGCACAAGCACGGCAAGAAAAAACTGCTGAAATAGAAGCACAAATCTAGTATACTTAAAAATATGATGTAATACAACGGAGAGTCGGATAACATAACAGTCAACAACCTACCTGGTTGATTACGTTCTTCCTGAGAATGCCATATTGACACCTATTTTATTGCCAAAAAGGGTAAAATATATTTTGATTTGAAGCTTTCGTGACTGCAGGAATCCACAGTCTTTGGTTCTTTCGGTAAAGTCAACTAGGTAGAAAAATAAAACAGAAGAAAAAATATATCACGATCGAAACGTCGCAATATATTATTCTGTTTTATTTTTCTACATACGTGACTTTACCGAAAGAATCTAAGGGTATGTAAAACCTACTGTTATATTCCAATACACGGCAAGAAATATCCCAGAATAAACATTGTTAAGGGTCAGAGAACTACCAGTATTAACCACCGCACGTCATCCTTGACATTGTGCAGTGCCAACCCCCCCTCCCATTTGAATATATCACAAACTACCAATTCAAACTTCTTGGTTCTTTCGGTAAAGTCACGTAGAAGGGAAATAATAAAATAATAAAAATAAAACATAATAAAATAATTCTCACGACGTTTCGGCCACAACGCAAGCACCCGTCCTCAGGTGGAGAACAGGTCTGTCGAGAAGACAGAGTCTGAATGACACACCTTGGGCTTGGAGCGACTATTTAAGCTGGGATGGAGGGGGAAGAGCGCCTTGACAAAATCATTTGCATATCAAGAGGAATTTAGCATATTTATGGGAAATGCAGATATGCGATTAGTACTACTTGTGAAATGTGTAGGAGGTTTCGCGGGGGGCTTAAAGTCATTATGCCCGTGCATTATGCAGGTTTAGCAGCATCAAAGGAAGGGGATAGGGGTAACATTAATAAAGGGAAGGAATGTTAATAGTATGTAGCTGCATTATTTTATTGTTTTATTTGTATTATTTTATTATTTCCATTCTACGTGACTTTACCGAAAGAACCAAGAAGATGAATCCCTGCAGTCACGAAAGCTTTAAATCGAAACACTTATACTCTTAGTTTTTTCGATAATGTCACGTAGGTAAAAAATGAAATTAAAATTCATAAAAATTAAATAATAAAAATCATGATTTTTGATTTTTATTACATTTTTATTATAGTGATTTTTATTATTTTATTCATATTAATTTTTATTTCAACTTTTTTTACCTACGTGACTTTACCGAAAAAACAAAGAGTATGAATCCTTGCAGTCACGATAGCTTCAAATCTAAAATAACACTTATTACCCAGGAACAGACATCGTGTTACATAGAATTATGATTACGCAACACGTGTTTGTTCTGGCGGTAGCTCGTGTCGCTACGGTTCTCTGTGGTGGGTTACGGCGTCTTTGTAACGATGACGACGGCAGTGGCGGTGCTGCTGATGTGACGACTGCTACTGCTACGCCTCTAACACTGGTCAACACACTTTTTCTGGCATAAGGAATTCCAACGGTTTTAAGGTGATTTTGGGGTGCCGATTCCAAATCTGGCATCGGTTTTTGTCTATCACATCAGGTTTTTGAGATATAAAATATTGCATTTTCAATAAAAACTGCAGAAGAAAAATATTAAATAAATGTGGATATCTACATAAAATGATATTATAAACACACTATCCTAAAAATACAGCACCATATTTTAACACTAAAGCAGTCACTGACTCGCAACAACTTGCAATCATAAGTGACAGAGTTAATTTCGGGTAAAATCAATGAAAATGGGGTATTCCGATATATAAAAATTAACCCGTAAAAACAAAGTTTTTCACTATAAATCCTTTATATGCGTGGCATCGGGGCGGCTAGAGTCCTCTCGTCCTCTGGCTTGAGATGGCTGCCACCTATGGGTCAGATGATTGTCTGGCAGCATTAAACAATTGGTAATTAAATATTTTAAAAAAATTTCCCTAAACAGTGTAAAATTTTGCAAAATTTTTTTTCACGAAAATTAATTGTCACGCACAACGAGTCTGTGTGCAAAATGTCAGCTCGATTTGATCACGGGAAGTGCGTTAAAAAACGACCGAAAGATTTGCACGGTCCTAAGCAAGCAAGCGAACTTAATATAAAGGATTTAAAAATGAGATGTGATAGAGCAAATCTGAGATCAGATTTGGAATCAGCACCCTGAAATTAGTCTAAACCAGCTGCAAAATTCCAGGCCAGAAAAAAAGTTATTTTTCTTGACCAGTGTAATCTATCTTCTATCTATCTTCTTTCTATATATATACGTAAAAAATTGTGGGTTTGTGTCTGGGTTTGTGTGTGGTCGCTCGCTTGGCTCTCCAACGGTGGGGTGTACGGTAAAAAAAAATAGCCAGGCACCATACCGTAAGCCCCACGGTGAGCAAGCGCTATTCCTTTTTGACATCCGTCAATTTTAAATGAGTTTAATTAGCGATTTAGTGCAAAATTTAGTGCGCTGCGCTATTATTTATTTATTTGTTTGTTTATGAGGTGTGCACGACCATACCAACTCACGCGCCTTTGATGGGAGTGAGGGGGACATTTTACTGGTAGGAACGAAGTGGACCAGCCACCAATAGATTATATTGTCCGTCCGTGTAGCAACATCGCCCCCTACTGCAAACACTTGGCATGACCCTACAAAAACCGAGACCTAGGCCTGAAACTCTCCCTTCGTATCGTACCCCCGCGTGTGTGAAAGGGACTTAATGTTTAACAATGTTACATTCCCTGATGTTTTTAAATAGCAACATTTACATTTAAAGCTTTTACATAAATAATTAAAACATTTATATTAACAATTAACTCACGACGGCCTAAGGCCTGCAGCTAGGCCTAAAGCCTAGACCTAGGCCTCAAACTCTCCCTTCGTATCGTACCCGCGCGTGTGTGAAAGGGAGTCAATGTTTAACAATGTTAAATTCCCTCATGTTTTTTAATAGAAACATTTACATTTAAAGCTTTTACATTAAAAACAACTCCCTACCCCCCTCGTCGGCGGCTCTCCAGCCGAGCCAGGCCTGGGAATCTCTCCCCCGCTCGGGGTGTATTGGGCGGGGCTACAGCGGCAGGGGGCGGGGCTACGCGGGGCTGGGCGGGGACACCGAGATGGGGCGGGGCCACGGGTGGCGGGGCGGGGTTACGCGGGTGGAGGGCGGGGCCACGGGGGCGGGGCGGGGCCACGGGGGAGCGGGGCGGGGTCAAGCGGTGGGAGGCGGAGCTTAGCGCGATGGAGGGAGGGGCCGTTGGCGAAAAGGGGCGGAGTCTACAGTCGAGAATACAGTACCGGGGGCGAGAAGGCGGGGCTAACAGTGATAGGGGCGTGGCCCACGGCGCTGCGTATCGTGCAGATTGTTACTACTCACTGTGTCTGCTCCAAGCTGCACTCACGTAGGTACATACTTGTGCAATACTATTATTTTTTGCAGAACGGTTACTACTACTTTATTGTTTCTTATGTTCCACTACGTCTACGTTTCCATCCACTTATTGGCGCCCATTTTTGCCATTTCATTTTATTATAGCCATTCAATTGTTCGGTCCTACCAGCCCACCCCACAGGGTCCTGTTATCTTTCGTGTTAAAAATGTTATAAAAATACACTAAACGTTGATGTAAATTATTCACTGTGTGATGTCCCCTCACCTCAGAGGTCGCAAACGGGTTTTGATTCCTTACCCGTACCAGGCCGCAGCAGGGTCGCAAATGGGTACCCGTACCCGACCAGGTACGGGTAGCCGTTCCCTACCCGTACCCGTAACCTACCCGAAATTAGTGACAAACGGCTACTCACCAGTGACTCACGGCCTACCCGTACCCGTACCAGGCCGCACCAGGGTCGCAAACAGCTACCTGTACCCGTACCCGGCTGGGTACAGGTAGCCGGGTATCGGGTAGGGTACGGGTATCGGATACCCGGTTGCGACCTCTGCCTCACCCCGATGCGTGCAGTTACTAATATAGATGGTTGCGAGATGTAGCAGGTACCACCACAGTCAGTATGCACTGCTGTAACATTTTTAAGAGTAATTTTGAAATCTTTTTAAGACCTGGGCAACGCCGGGTACTTCCTGCTAGTCTGAAATAAAATTAAACCCGAGCCCGCGCACACACGGGTTACGGGATTCCGCGGTGAACGGGACGCTCGCCCATCCACCCCTGCGACTTGAAGGTGTCTCGGAAACAGGGGAAAGGGTGAATCTTCCCTTCTGAGTGGGCGCCGCAGTGGCTAGGAGATGTTGACTACTTCGCCTGGTACGCTGGAGGTCCTGGTTTTAATCCCGGACCCTAACGCCACGGTGACTAGGAGATGTTGACTACCTCGCCTGGTACGCAGGAGGTCGTGGTTTTAATCCTGGACCCTAACGCCATGGTGGCTAAGAGATGTTGACTACCTCGCCTGGTACACAGGAGGTCGTGGTTTTAATCCCGGACCCTAATGCCACGGTGGCTAGGAGATGTTGACTACCTCGCCTGGTACGCAGGAGGTCGTGCTTTTAATCCCGGACCCTAACGCCATGGTGGCTAGGAGATGTTAACTACCTCGCCTGGTACACAGGAGGTCGTGGGTCGATCCCAACCCTGACGCCTACTGCTGTATATTTGGAGTTTGCGTGTCTCTTTCTCTCTCCCCGTGGTTCCTGTGCATGTTTCTCCGAGTCCTTCGGTTCTTCCCCTCCACATTTTAGAATCAACATCGCCACGCGTTGAGAGCATTCGGCTGCCGCTGTAAATTTCCACGCAGTGATGTCGGCCAATTCGTTGAGCTTTCATGTGCGATGAACCAGGTCGCTTCTGAAAAAGAGCTACCTAGCTCAGTGGGGACCTTACGCATGGTTAGATAACATCTGTCCGCCTGTCCGTCTGTCTCTCCGTCTCTCCGTCTGGTCTCCAGACACGACGTCGTTCACGACCGAGGCGAGCATGCAGATCGAGACGGATGCTCCCATCGGAGGGAACTGCTCATTTGAATTCATCGTCAGCAAACAGAATGTCACCAGCAGCGTCACTGTGCTCAGCTGTGAGTATCATGGCTACGGCCTGCGCGTGTGTGTACACGTGTGTGAGCGTGTGATCACTAAACTACGTGGAAATCAATCTAAGCTCGTGCCCGAGGCACCAGAGGGACAGGCATTTATAACGTTTCCTGGTCAAACCCCTTTTGGCGGAGCCAGGGGACTGAATCATTACCCTCGGGGCTCCTCCAGAAACAACTAGAAAACATCTTCTTGGTTCTTTCGGTAAAGTCACGTAGAATGGAAATAATAAAATAATACATTATTATTTCCATTCTACGTGACTTTACCGAAATAACCAAGAAGATGAATCCCTGTAGTCACAAAAGCTTTAAATCTAAAATTAATTAGAAAACACTGCAGGTAGCCACGTGGAATGTTCGAACGTTCACTGCGGAAGAGAGGCTGCCACTCCTCTGTCGGGAGCTGGACCGGTACCGCCTGGATCTCTGTGGTATTCAGGAGGTCTGGTGGACCGGCTCTGGGTCCAGTCACCATGAGGGTGGACAAGTCCTCTACTCAGGGCAGGATAATGCCAAACAAAGGAGAGTGGCTCTTCTGACTAAAACAATCAAGGGGGTGTGGGAGCGTGGTGGTGAGGTGTGGGAAGCTGTAAGCTCCAGACTAGTTTGGGCTGGACTCTCCATTAACTGGAGTGGTGTTGGTGGTGGCTGTTTATGCACCCCACCGAAGATGAACATCAGTGGATGGATGCAGGCAAGGCCGATGAGTCCAAATGGCTTTTATGACCTTCTGTCAAAGGTGCTAGCTAAAGTGGCCCCTTGGGAAAGAGTCATCTTGTTGGGTGATTTTAATGCCCAAGTTCTTCATCTTCTGTAGATGTAGATGCCACTGGTTCTTCACGTTATGCAGATATAGATGCTACTGGTTCTAGAATATCCTGCAGATGTGGATGTCACTGGTTATTCATTTTCCGCGGATGTAAATGCCACTTGTTCTTTAAGTTCTGCAGATGTAGATGCCACTGGTTCTTCATCTTCTGTAGATGTTGATGCCATTGGTTCTTCACGTTCTGCAGATGTAGATGCCTCTGGTTTTTCACGTTCTGCAGATGTAGATGCCACTGGTTTTTCACGTTCTGCAGATGTAGATGCCACTGGTTCTTCACCTTCTGCAGATGTAGATGCCACTGGTTCTTCACGTTCTGTGGATGCCACTTGTTCTTCACGTTCTGCAGATGTAGATGCCACTGGTTCTTCACCTTCTGCAGATGTAGATGCCACTGGTTCTTCACGTTTTGCAGATGTAGATGCCACTGGTTTTTCACGCTCTGTAGATGCCACTGGTTCTTCATGTTCTGTAGATGTAGATGCCACTGGTTCTTGATGTTCTGTATATGTAGATGCCATTGGTTCTTCACGTTCTGCAGATGTAGATGCCTCTGGTTTTTCACGTTCTGCAGATGTAGATGCCACTGGTTCTTCACGTTCTGTGGATGCCACTGGTTCTTCACGTTCTGCAGATGTAGATGCCACTGGTTCTTCACCTTCTGCAGATGTAGATGCCACTGGTTCTTCACGTTCTGCAGATGTAGATGCCACTGGTTCTTCACGTTCTGCAGATGTATATGCCACTGGTTTTTCACGCTCTGTAGATGCCACTGGTTCTTCATGTTCTGTAGATGTAGATGCCACTGGTTCTTGATATTCTGTATATGTAAATGCCACTGGTTTTCACGTTCTGCAGATGTAGATGCCACTGGTTCTTCACGTTCTGCAGATGTAGATGCCACTGGTTCTTCACCTTCTGCAGATGTAGATGCCACTGGTTTTGCACGTTCTGTAGATGCCACTCGTTCTTCACGTTGAACCTACGTCTCTCGTTCCGAACAGCTGCAACTGGACGTACGGGAACACAGTTTGTTGGTGTCTCTGAAAGTTCGTAAGTCGAACGTTCGCAAGTAGAGTTGGTCCCCCGTATCAGTCGGACAAGACAATGCCCCCCACAATGCAACAGTAACGGCCCGCGACCGCCACCGTAATGTTACCGCCTCCTTCTTCCTCTCGTCATCACCTCGTCATCACCTCGTCCCCCCCCCTCCTCTCCCCCCCCCACTCCCCTCCTCCACCCCCCCCCCCCCATACCCCACCGATCTCTCGCCAGGGTGCGGGTTGGACGGTCCTCAGACGCGTTGCCACTGCGGCCCCGGCTTGCTGTGGAGTGCGGCTGCCTGTCGCCAGGTGGGAGCGTGCGATGACGTCACCGCGTCTGGCCCCTCCCCCTCGCCTGGCTCCGCCCCTTTCTCCTACTCCGGCTCCGGCTTTTTCCCTTCCTGCACGTGCATCAAGGGGTTCCCGCCCGACGGGGTGCAGTGCGTGTCTCGCCCAGAGTCTCTGCCATCGTGCACGACCGCCAACCCCACCGATGCCACTACCGTCGTGAACGCCACTGTGACCTCTGAGATGACCATGGACGCTACTGTGACCACTGCAGTGGCCCTGAACACCACTGCGACTACCGTCCTGAGCACAACGATGGCAACCGTCGGTTCGAATCAAACGAGAAGCCCCGACGCGCCACAAGGTGAGCGAGGGAGGTGGCACTTGCGGTGGCTCTCGCAGGCAGCGAAACGGGGGCATTTTGGTCCATTCCCGACTCGGAATTACTTTTGTGAGTCTGGAGTTTGTGTGATCTCACCCATGTATCTACAGAGTGAGTGAGTGGAGTTTGAATTATCTCCCCCTGTGTCTACAGAGTGAGTGAGTGGTGTTTGTATGATCTCCCCCTGTTCTACAGAGTGAGTGAGTGGAGTTTGTATGATCTCCCCCTGTTCTACAGAGTGAGTGGATGGAGTTTGTATGATCTCCCCCTGTTCTACAGAGTTAGTAAGTGGAGTTTGTATGATCTCCCACTGTGCTACAGAGTGAGTGAGTGAAGTTTGTATGATCTCCCACTGTTCTACAGAGTGAGAAAGTGTAGTTTGTATGATCTCCGCCTGTTCTACAGAGTGAGTGAGTGGAGTGGAGTTTGTATGATCTCCCCCTGTTCTACAGAGTGAGTGAGTAGAGTTTGTATGATCTCCCCCTGTTCTAGAGAGTGAGTGAGTGCAGTTTGTATGATCTCCCCCTGTTCTACAGAGTGAGTGAGTGGAGTTTGTATGATCTCCCCCTGTCCCAGAGTGAGTGAGTGGAGTTTGTGTGATCTCCCCATGTTCTACAGAGTGAGTGGGTGGAGTTTGTATGATCTCCCCCTGTTCTACAGAGTGAGTGAGTGGAGTTTGTATGATCTCACCCTGTTCTACAGAATGAGTGAGTGGAGTTTGTGTGATCTTCCCCTGTTCTACAGAGTGAGTGAGTGGAGTTTGTATGATCTCACCCTGTTCTACAGAGTGAGTGAGTGGAGTTTGTATGATCTCCCCCTGTTCTACAGAGTGAGTGAGTGGAGTTTGTATGATCTCCCCCTGTTCTACAGAGTGAGTGGATGGAGTTTGTATGATCTCCCCCTGTTCTACAGAGTTAGTAAGTGGAGTTTGTATGATCTCCCACTGTGCTACAGAGTGAGTGAGTGGAGTTTGTATGATCTCCCCCTGTTCTACAGAGTGAGTGAGTGCAGTTTGTATGATCTCCCCCTGTTCTACAGAGTGAGTGAGTGGAGTTTGTACGTGTGGATGAGTGGATGTGCGATTGTATGAGTTGGTGAGTGAGTGGGAATCCGTGGGGCAGTGGTTAGCGCTACGAACCTAGTAAGAGACCCAAGTTTGATTCCCGCTCATAGCCAACACCGCCAGTGACGATTATCTGAACCGGTCGTGGGCCTTCCCTAGGTCGACTCAGCCTCAAATGCGTACCTGGTGCGGTGTGTAAACATCGTCGCTAGGGAGACAAAAGCGACCGAGTGTAGTTGCTGGCTACCCATGCCCTCATGTGCTGTTCCGGCCTTCATAGGTGCTCGCAAACAACACTTTCCCCTACAGTCTGGTAGAGGCTATCCGGGGGGATCTTTGTTGATCTTTGAGTCTGTCTGTGTGTGTGTCTGTTCCGCTACTCAGTACCACAAACAGCACTTTCCCCTACAGTCTGGTAGAGGCTATGAGGATAATCTTTGTCTTTGTCTCCCACAGAGATCAAGGTGGTCCCAGTGACGCTGACAATCAATGAAGTCTTCAACAATGCCCTGAGTGACCCAAACTCGCAGGAGTACAAGAACATGTCAGAGAGACTCCTACCCATCGTAAGACATCTCACAACGACGAAGTATAAACTCACTTCACTTGTCGTTTCACCAGACCCAAACAAGCCCACAGAGACCCATACTTATAGAGACTCATAGAGACCCGTACTCACAAAGACCCATACTCACAGAGACCCATACTCATAGAGACCCATACAGACCCACAGAGACCCATACTCATAGATTCCCATACAGACCCACTGAGACCCAAACTCATAGAGACCCATACAAACTCACAGAGACTCATGCTCATAGAGATTCATACAAACCCACAGAGACCCGTACTCATAGAGACCCTCAGAGACAAATACTCACAGAGACCCATACAGACCCACAGAGACCCAATACTCATAGAGACCCATAGAGACCCACAGAGACCCATACTCACAGATTCCCATACAGACCAACTGAGACCCAAACTCATAGACCCCCATACAGACCCACAGAGACTCATGCTCATAGAGACCCATACAGACCCACAGAGACCCAAACTCACAGAGACCCATACAGACCCACAGAGACCCAAACTCACAGAGACCCATACAGACCCACAGAGACTCATGCTCAGAGAGACACATACAGACCCACAGAGACAAATACTCATAGAAACCCATAGAGACCCACAGAGACCCACAGAGACCCATACTCACAGAGACCCACAGAGACCCATACTCATAGAGACCCACAGAGACCCATACTCATAGAGACCCATACAGACCCATACTCAGAGACCCACAGAGACCCATACAGACCCACAGAGACAAATACTCACAGAGACCCATACAGACCCACAGAGACCCAAACTCACAGAGACCCATACAGACCCACAGAGACTCATGCTCAGAGAGACACATACAGACCCACAGAGACAAATACTCAAAGAAACCCATAGAGACCCACAGAGACCCACAGAGACCCATACTAATAGAGACCCATACAGACCCACAGAGACCCATACTCATAGAAACCAACAGAGACCCGTACTCATAGAGACCCATACAGGCCCACAGAGACCCATACTTATAGAGAGCCATAGAGACCCACAAAGACCCACAGAGATCTATACTCACAGAGATCCATACAGACCCACAGAGACCCGTACTCATAGAGACCCATACAGACCCACTGAGACCCATACTCATAGAGACCCACAGAAACCCATACTCGCAGAAACCCAAACAAACCCACAGAGACCTATACTCATAGATACCCATACAGACCCACAGAGACCTATACTCATAGAGAACTATGATAAAGACCCACAGAGATACATAGAGAGAGACCCATACTCATCCAGAAACATAACAACACTACACTAAAAGTGACACTGTAGACCACACTACTCTACGATACACTACACACTATACACTACACACTATACAATACACAAGATACACTACACACTATACACTACACACTATACACTACACAAGATACACTACACACTATACACTACACACTATACACTAGACAAGATACACTACACACTATACACTACACACGATACACTACACAAGATACACTACACACTATACACTATACGATACACTACACACTATACACTACACACTATGCACTACACAAGATACACTACACACTATACACTACTCTACGATACACTACACACTATACACTACACACAATACACTACACAAGATACACTACTCTACGATACACTACACACTATACACTACACACTATACACTACACAAGATACACTACACACTATACACTACTCTACGATACACTACACACAAAACACTACACACTATACACTACTCTACGATACACTATACACTACACAAGATACACTACACACTATACACTACTCTACGATACACTAAACACTATACACTACACACTATACACTACACTACTATACACTGCACTACTATACACTATACAACAACAACAACAACCGCCATTCGCCACTAAGTGGTGGTGACGTCACCACGACGCTTGTGCCAGGCCATGTGCACCTTGAGGCCACGTGAAGTGTCGAACGCCCGCTGACAGGAGGTCACGGGGCAGACCCAGCAGGTGCCACGGGTCGACTGACTTAGATGACTGAGACGACTGGCTGATGCACCACCTGTGCCCCCTACTGTGCCAACTTGCTGTGCTTTAGCCACCCGGCGCTCCGCTCGTTGTTGTGAGCGTCGCTCCTCCGCCCTCTGTTGTTGTTGGAGGGCGACTGCCTCCAACTGCCCAGTATCGTCCTTCACGAGCCTCCTCCACTGAGGCCGATCTTGACACCGCTGGTACCAGTCATCAGCAAGTCCACTCAGCTCCACGTCCTCCTGTACCACATCACTCCATCTCTTCTCCAGCCCGTGCCGCGCCCGTTTAGCCCCCTCGATCAGGTCGAACAAAAGCTGTTTGGGCATGCGGTGGCTGGGCATGCGGGCTACATGACTCAGCCAAGGCAGCCTTGCCTTCCGGAGGAGCTCACCGATGGGACTATACACAACACTATACATGACACGATACGAAACTATATACTACTATACACTACACTATACACTACACACTACACTACACACCATACCATAGCCGACGAGAGAACCCTGCCTGACCTCCCGCTCATCATCTGCGATGCCCTCTCCCAGTGACCCCACAGGACACGGTTTGTGTCCTTGTGGGTCTGTGACAACGATAATGAAATAAACGATTGTTTGATGACACGTCTCCCCCCCCCCCCCACTAATCCCCCCCCACCACTCCCCCCACTACCTCCACCTACCACCCCCCCCCCCCTCCCCACGTTCCACAGCTCAACAGCTCCTATCAGAACCTCGGATCTCGGTTCGAGAAAGTGGAGATCTTAAACTTCTGGTGAGCACGGCTCAAACTCGCGTCACTCCACGACCACTGGGACTGCACCATAGACTCAACACTGCACCATAGACTCAGCACTGCACCGTAGACTCAGCACTGCAACGTAGACTCAACACTGCACCATAGACTCAACACTGCACCGTAGACTCAGCACTGCAACGTAGACTCAGCACTGCACCATAGACTCAGCAATGCACCATAGACTCAGCACTGCACCATAGACTCAGCACTGTACCATAGACTCAACACTGCACCGTAGACTCAGCACTGCACCATAGACTCAGCACTGCACCATAGACTCAACACTGCTCCATAGACTCAACACTGCACCGTAGACTCAACACTGCACCGTAGACTCAGCACTGCACCGTAGACTTAACACTGCACCATAGACTCAACACTGCACCATAGACTCAACACTGCCCGTAGACTCAACACTGCACCATAGACTCAACACTGCACCATAGACTCAACACTGCACCATAGACTCAACACTGCACCGTAGACTCAGCACTGCACCGTAGACTCAACACTGCACCATAGACTCAACACTGCAACATAGACTCTGCACTGCACCATAGACTCTGCACTGCACCATAGACTCTGCAGTGCACCATAGACTCAACACTGGCCATAGACTCAACACTGCACCATAGACTCAACACTGCCCATAGACTCAACACTGCACCATAGACTCAACACTGCACCATAGACTCAGCACTGCACCATAGACTCAACACTGCACCATAAACTCAACACTGCACCATAGACTCAACACTGCACCATAGACTCAACACTGCACCATAGACTCAACACTGCACCGTAGACTCAACACTGGCCATAGATTCAACACTGCACCATAGACTGAACACTGCACCATAGACGAAACGCTGCACCGTAGACTCAACACTGCCCCATAGACTCACTTACTTAACCACTCACCCACTCACCTAATCGCACGCTCACTCAATCACTCATTCACTAATTCACCCACTTGTTTTATCACACGTTCAATCACTCTCTCACTCACTTACCCACTAACCCACTCAACTATCCCCATCACTAATTACCCCACCCACTATCTCACTAACCCATCCACTCTTTAATGAATCAACCCACCAACCCAATCATCCACTCGCTCACCTTCCTACCTACTACGCCACTCAATCAACTGCTCACCTACTAACCCACTCACTCACCCAATCACTCACTCACCCACCCACTCAACCAATCACTCACCCACCCAGCCACTCACTCACTCACCCATTCACTCAATCACCCACTTTATCACACGTTCAATCACTCTCTCACTCACTTACCAACTCGCCCACTCACTATCCCACTCACTAACTAACACTCACTTACTCAATAACCCATCCAGCCATTAACTCACTCACTCGCCACTCGCTCAACCGCTCACCTACTAACCCAGTCAATCCCCCAATCACTCACTCACCCACCTACTCGACCAATAACTCACCCACCCAGCCGCTCACTCACTCAACCATCCTCTCATTCACTCACCCACTCACTCACCCACTCACCCACTAATTCACCCACTCACACACTCTCCCACCAAATCACTCGCTCACTAACCCACTCACTCACCCACACAACCACTAACTCACCCACTCAGTCACCCATTCACTCAATCAACTACTTACTTTATCACACGTTCAATCACTCTCTCACTCACTTACCAACTCACCCACTCACTATCCAACTCACTAACTAACACACTCACTTACTCAAAAACCCATCCAGCCATTAAATCACTCACCCACCCACCCACCCACCTAACCACTCACTCAGCCACCTACCCACTCACTCTCCCACCTACCCACCCACTCACCTACTCACCCACCCACTCACCCACTCACCGACTCACCCACTCACTCAGCCACCTACCCACTCACTAACCCACTCACTCACCCACCTACCCACTCACTAACCCACTCACTCACCCATCTACCCACTCATTCACCCACCCACTCAACTACTCACCCACTCACCCACCTACCCACTCACCCACTCACTCATCCACCGACCTACTCATTAACGCACTCATTCACCCACCTGTCTACTCACCCACCCACTCACCTACTCACCCACCCACTCGCCCACTCACACACTCACTAACCCACTCACTCACCCACCTGTCCACTCGCCCACACACTCACCCACTCACATACCCGCACCGCCCACTCACCCACTCACTAACCCACTCACCCACCTACCCACTCACTCACTAACCCATTCATTGACCCACTCACTCACCCACCTACCCACTCACTAACCCACTCACTCACCCACTCACTCACTCACTCACCCACTCACTCACTCACCCACTCACTCACCCACCTACCCACTTCCTCACCCACCCACCCACTTACCCACCCACCCATCCACTCACTTACTCACTCACCCACCCACCCACCCACTCACCCACTCACCCACCCACCCACCCACTCACCCACCCACCCCAATCCACTCACTCACTCACTCACCCACCCATCCACCCACCCACTCACCCACCCACCCACCCACCCACTCACCCACCCACCCACCCACTCCCTCACCCACCCACTCACCCACTCACCCATCCACTCACTCACTCACTCACCCACCCACCCACCCACTCACCCACCCACTCACTCACTCATTCACTCACTCACTCACCCACTCACTCACTCACTCACCCACCCACCCACCCACCCACCCACCCACTCCCCGCATGTCTCTCTCTCCCCGCCGTTGCAGGTCCGGCAGTGTCAAGGCATCCGTGAACGTGATTGGCGACAGCCTCACCAACTCCGAGGTCACCACCTTGACCTCCTCTTCCATTGACGATTTGATAGCGGCTGGAGTTCCAGTCATCGACTTCAATATCAACGGTACGTGGTGAGAGATGGGGAGTGGGGGTTATGAGATGTTGACTACCTCGCCTGGTATACAGGAGGTCATTGATTCGATCCCGGACTCTGATGCTTACCATGGCTAGGAGATCTACACTATGGGAACCTCATTTGCCAGTAAAAATATGATAATTGGTTGTTTACCCTTCTATCTGGCAACAAAACTGACACCTTTTTACAAGGAGTCATGTTTGCATAGACCGCATTACCTGCAGTCATAAATACAAACAAAAGACACAACTCTGATAATGTACGCACTGTCCTTGAAGTTGATTGGTGACAGAGTTAAGTGACAGAGTTAATTTCGGGTAAAATCAATGAAAATGGGGTATGCCGATAGCACAAAAATGAGATGTGATGGATCAAATCTGAGATCAGATTTGGAATCAGCACCCTGAAATTAGTCTAGAACAGCTGCAAAAGTCCAGGCCAGAAAAAAATGTTTTTTTTGTTGACCAGTGTGATTGGTGTTTTACCCTTCTATCTGGCAACAAAACTGACACCTTTTTTTATGAGGTTCCAATGGTGTAAATGCTTTACCCCGAGCTCTCATACTCTGATAGTGCATTGTCTTTGAGTTGTACGCCTTTTGGCGTCATCTGGTCCAACCCATGTGAGACTAGGCTCTAAGGAAAGCTGTCTCGGGTGTGGACCAATCAACTTCAAGGACAGTGCACATTATCAGAGTTATGTCTTTTGTTTGTATTTATGACTGTAGGTATTGCGGTCTATGCAAACATGACTCCTTGTAAAAAGATGTCAGTTTTGTTGCCAGATAGAAGGGTAAACAACCAATTATCATGGCTAGGAGATGTTGACTACCTCGCCTGGTGCGCAGGAGGTCGTGGGTTCGATCCCAATCCTGACCCTGTCTCATTGATGACCGTCCGCAGGTACCACCACTACCGTCACCACTGTGAGGCTTAAATATATCTTAAATCAAACGATGGTGAGTATCTTTACCACCACCACCATCATCATCACCATCATCACCACCATCACCACCACCATCATCACCACCACCATCATTAACATCGTCACTCGCACCACCATTACCATCATCACCACCATTATCACCATCACCACTACCATCACCACCATCACCATCTTCACCACCACCAACAACACCAATGGCCGCGCCATTCGCCACTAAGTGACGGTGACGTCACCACGGCGCCTGTGCCAGGCTAGGTGCACTTTGAGGCCACGTGAAGTGTCAAAGGCTCGCTGCTGACAGGAGGTCACGGAGCAGACCCAGGTGCCACGCGTCGACTGACTGAGACGACTGGCTGATGCACCACTTGTGCCGCCTACCGTGCCAACTTGCTGTGCGTTAGCCACCCGGCGCTCCGCTCGTTGTTGTGAGCGTCGCTCCTCCGCCCTCCGTTGTTGTTGGAGGGCGACTGCCTCCAACTGCCCAGTAGCGTCCTTCACGAGCCTCCTCCACAGAGGCCGATCTTGACACCGCTGGTACCAGTCATCGGCAAGTCCACTCAGCTCCCCGTCATTTTGTACCACATCACTCCATCTCTTCTCCAGCCCGTGTCGTGCTCGTTTTACCCCCTCTATACAGCCAAACAAAAGCTGTTTAGGCATGTGGTGGCTGGGCATGCGGGCTATATGACCCAGCCAACGCAGCCTTGCCTGCCGGAGGAGCTCACTGATAGGAATGTGTCCAGATCTTTCAAGGATTTGTGAGCTCCTCACACAATCCAGCCTGCAGGTTAAACCCAGGATAGATCGTAGGCATGCCAGACTGAAAGTTTATAACCGTCACAGATGTTCCATTAAGGGGGTCCACGTTTTGCAAGCGTAGAGAAGGGAGGGCACGACTGTGGCCGAGAAGACCCAAAACTTCGTGTGGAGCAACAGACCACACAGCATTGCACAACCGATAAAAAGATAATGCCGCTCGACTGATTCGGAGTGAGACCTCTGCTGTTAAACCGGAGCCGGTCATGCGCACACTGCCCAGGTATGGGAAACTCTTCATTCTCTCCACAACTGCCCCATCACCAATTGGGAGTTGTGGGGGTGGAGTGTCCGATGGATCAAAATACCCAGGCAGGTGCTTAGTTTTAGTGGGACTGATGGTAAGGCCCCACCTCTTATTGGCACGCTCCAGGTGCAGCAGCAGCGCCTACAACTCCTCCTCTGAGTGAGCAGCAATTACCAGATCATCGGCATACATAACGTGGTTGACCAATATGGAGCCATCTCTGGACCGCAACCGGGCATCGATCAGCTTCCCATTGTATCTGTACCAGATAGAGATTCCTCCTGTACAGCCATAGAAGGCTTCGTGAACTACGTGGTCGAAAAATATGTTAAATAATGTGGAAGTCAGAGGACATCCCTGTCACACCCCAAAATTAACAGGTAAAGGCTCCGACTCCCGGCCACGTAGCTTTACCTGGGCCCGCTCACCATCATGAAGGTCCTTAATGAGTGTGAATGGAGAGTCAGGGACTCCAAAAGTATGAAGAACACAAAATCCAGACCGACTGATGGTATCATAGGCCTTGACCAGGTCATTAAAGCAGAGATGTAGGTCTTTTTGGAATTCCCTACACCTCTGCTGTCTCAGACGGACATAAAATATGGCATCTGTGCAGGATCGCCCTTTCCTGCAACCACATTGGGGCTCCGCAAGCCTCTCCTCAGCGTGCCTGGCAAGGCGATGCTGAATAATCCTTGCCAGGACCTTTCACAACACACTAAGGAGTGAGATGCCCCTGTAGTTGTTACAGTCTGTGCAGTCCCCCTTCTTAAAGAGGGGGGACCACCAGGGCATCCTTCCAATCCTGCGGAACCCATCCAGTGGTCCAGACTGTTGTTATAATGTCATGTAGGGCAGTCTGCGCACAAACGCCACCCTCCCTGAGCATTTCACTTGGGAGATCATCTCTGCCCGGTGCCTTTCCTGTAATTGAAGAGTGATTTGTGATCGTTGACTGCTGAGGCAGACTCGAACTCCTCAGCAACCCGTGACCATCCCCTCACCTCTCCTGCTCAAGAACCTCACCGCATAGACCTAGACCACTATACACTACACTATACACTACACTACTATACACTACACTATACACTACACTATACACTACACTATACACTGCACTATACACTACACTATAATCTACACTACTATACACTACACTATACACTACACTATACACTACACTATACACTACACTATAATCTACACTACTATACACTACACTATACACTACACTACTATACACTACACTACTATGCACTCCAATATACACTACACTACTAAAGACTGCACTACTATACACTACACTATACACTACACTATACACTACACTATACACTACACTATACACTACTACATTATACACTACACTATACACTACACTACTATGCACTCCACTATACACTACACTATACACTACACTACTATACACTACTAAACACTGCACTACTATACACTACACTATACACTACACTACTATACACTACACTACTAAATACTGCACTACTATACACTACATTATACACTAAACTACACACTACACTATACACTACACTATACACTACACTATACACTACACACTACACTACACACTACGCTATACACTACACAACAACACTACACTATACACTACACACCACTACACAAATACCCTACACTATACACTACTATATTCTACACTACACTACACACTACAAAACTACACTATACACTACACGTTACAAGCCTCTCTCAACTCTCCGCCCACAGGATTTACAAAACCAGCCTAAGGAAGAGGTGGAGAGGCAGGTTCCCATCCTGTTGAAAAACCTCACCATGCAGACAGACCCTGCGGGGGGCAGCCTCAGCCCCGACAACATCCTCGCTGCGAGCGCGGCGCTGCGTCTGATCACGATGGCGACCCAGAACAAGAGCATCGTCTTTGGCAAAGAGGTGGCAGAGGTGAGCCCCAGTGTGCCGTGGTGTAGTGTATAGTGTAGTGTAGAGTGTGTAGTAGTGTAGTGTATAGTAGCGTAGTGTATAGTAGTGTAGTGTATATAGTGTAGTGTATAGTAGTGTAGTGTATAGTGTAGTGTATATAGTGTAGTGTATAGTGTATAGTAGTGTAGTGTATAGTAGTGTAGTGTATATAGTGTAGTGTATAGTAGTGTAGTGTATAGTGTAGTGTATATAATGTAGTGTATAGTGTAGTGTACAGTGACTCTCCCCGCCGTGCCTCCTCCCGACAGAGCTTCCTCGTCATGGCGAGCAACTTGCTGGCGACGAGCAACTTGGACTCCTGGATGAAGCTGCAGACGCTGAACGAGCCGGACAGCGCCGACCTCCTCGGCAACGTGGAGACTTTCGTGACGAGGATGAACACCACGAGCCTGGCCACGGGCACAAGTGAGCACGTGGGCGGCTGTGTGGCCGGGTGTGGGGTGGGGGGGATGAAGATACTGGGATATACGGGGCGACACGGGGAGACACACGGGGGAGACATCACGAGAGACCGGGAGAGACCCTGGGAGACACTGGGAGACAGGGGGGTGACATGGGGGAGACACACGGGGGAGACACACGGGGAGACACACGGGGGAGTCAACGGGAGTCATCGGGAGAGACACGGGAAATATCGGGATACAGGCGAGAGACACGGGGTGATACACGGAGAGACACGGCGAGACACGGGAATACATTTGGAGAGACCGGGAGACACTGGGAGACACAACGAGATAGCGAGAGAGACTGGGAGACACTGGGAGACACGGGGAGACACTGGGAGACACGGGGAGGCACGGGGAGACATCGGAAGAGACAGGGAGACACTGGGCGACAGGGGGAGACACGGGGAGACACAACGAGACATCGGGAGAGACTGGTAGACACTGGGAGACACGAAAGACACGGGGAGACACGGGGAGACATGAGCAGACACGGGGAGACACTGGGAGACACGGGGAAACATCGGAAGCGACAGGGAGACACTGGGCGACAGGGGGAGACACGGGGAGACACAAGGAAACACTGAGAGACTCGCGTAGAATCAGGGAGACACTGGACGGCACCAGGAGAAAAATTCCCTCGACCAAGGGGAGAGAGAGAGAGACGCAAACTCCAAATACACAACAGGCGTCAGGGTCCGGGATCGAACCCACGACCTCCTGTAAACCAGGCGAGGCAGTCACCAACTCAACATCAAACCCACGACCTCCTGTACACCAGGCGATGTAGTCAACATCTCAACATCGAACCCACAACATCCTGTAAACCAGGTGATATAGTTAACATCTCCTAGCCACCGTGGTTTTAGGGTCCAGGATCGAACCCACGACCTCCTGTTAACCAGGCGAGGCAGTTAACATCTCAACATCGAACCCACGACCTCCTGTAAACCAGGCGATGTAGTCAACATCTCAACATCGAACCCACGACCTCCTCCATAACAGGCAAGGTAGTTAACATCTCCTAGCCACCGTGGTTTTAGGGTCTGGGATTGAAACCATGACCTCCTGTAAACTAGGCGAGGCAGTCACCATCTCAACATCGAACCCACGACCTCCTGTAACCCAGGCGATGTTGTCAACATCTCAACATCGAACCCACGACCTCCTGTAAACCAGGTGATGTAGTTAACATCTCCTAGCCATCGTGGTTTTAGGGTCCAGGATCGAACCCACGACCTCCTGTAAACCAGGCGAGGTAGTTAGCATCTCCTAGCCACCATGGTGTTAGGGTCCGGGATTGAAACCACGACCTCCTGTAAACCAGGCGAGGCAGTCAACATTGAACCCACGACCTTCTGTAAACCAGGCGATGTCGTCACCATCTCAACATCGAACCCACGACCTCCTGTAAACCAGGTGATGTAGTTAACATCTCCTAGCCATCGTGGTTTTAGGGTCCACAATCGAACTCGCGACCTCCTGAAACCATGCGAGGTAGTTAGCATCTCCTAGCCACCATGGTGTTAGGGTCCGGGATTGAAACCACGACCTCCTGTAAACCAGGCAAGGCAGTCACCATCTCAACATCGAACCCACGACCTCCTGTAAACCAGGTGATGTAGTCAACATCGAACCCACGACCTCCTGCATACCAGGCAAGGTAGTTAACATCTCCTAGCCACCGTGGTTTTAGGGTCCGGGATTGAAACCACGACCTCCTGTAAACTAGGCGAGGCAGTCACCATCTCAACATCGAACCCACGACCTCCTGTAAACCAGGAGATGTTGTCAACATCTCAACATGGAACCCACGACCTCCTGCGTACCAGGCGAGGCAGTCACCATCTCTTGCACGTTCCTCCTCCACCCCCCCCCCTCTCCTCCCGCTCACCGATTTCCCTCCCCCCCCCCCGAAGGTGCCGGTGCCGACGTCCTGTCGACGTTCAACATCACCAGCGCCAACGTGCGGCTGCTGGGCACCGTCCTCGCCAGCGCCACCCAGGGGGGTAACTACTCCAATGTGTTCGCGGGCGACGGAGTCGCCGGGGAGACTGCAGTGACGATCGGTGAGGAGCAGCTGAAGAAGATCGCCAATGACGGCGGCGGCGGCAGCGGCACCTACGTCGTGAGCATGCTCTTCACGTGAGTCGCTCGCTCACTCATCCACTAACTCGCTCAGCCATTCGCTCACTCACCCACTTACCCACTCACTCACTCACGCACACTCAGCCACTCACTCAGCCACTCACTCAGCATTAACCACACAATGCTGGGCCATGTAGCCCGCATGCCCAGCCACCGCATGCCTAAACAGCTTTTGTTTGGCCGGATAGAGGGGGCTAAACGGGTGCAGCATGGGCTAGAGAAGAGATGGAGTGATGGGTGAGTGGGTGAGTGTGTGGGTGAGTGAGTGGGTGGGTGAGTGAGTGGGTGAGTGTGTGAGTGACACGGGCTAGAGAAGAGATGGAGTGATGTGGTACAGGAGGACGTGGAGCTCAGTGGACTTGCCAATGACCGGTACCAGCGGTGTCAAGATCGGCCTCTGTGGAGGAGGCTCGTGAAGGAAGCTACTGGGCAGTTGGAGGCAGTCGCCCTCCAACAACAACGGAGGGCAGAGGAGCGACGCTCACAACAACGAGCGGAGCGCCGGGTGGCTAAAGCACAGCGAGTTGGCACAGTAGGGGGCACAGGTGGTGCATCAGCCAGTCATCTCGGTCATCTCAGTCAGTCGACCCGTGGCACCTGCTGGGTCTGCCCCGTGACCTCCTGCCAGCGGGCGTTCGACACTTCACTTGGCCTCAAGGTGCACATGGCCTGGCACAAGCGCCGTGGTGACGTCACCGTCACTTAGTGGCGAATGGCGGTTGTTCTTGTTGTATAGTGTACAGTAGTGCAGTGTATAGTAGTGCAGTGTATAGTGTGTAGTGTATAGTGTGTAGTGTATAGTGTGTAGTGTATAGTGTGTAGTGTATAGTGTAGTGTATAGTGTGTAGTGTATAGTGTGGAGTGTATAGTGTGTAGTGTATAGTGTGTAGTGTATCGTAGAGTAGTGTGGTGTACAGTGTCAATTTTAGTGTAGTGTCGTCATGTTTCTGGATGAGTATGGGTCTCTATGTATGTCTATGGCGAATGGCGGTTTTTGTTGTTGTGTGGGTCTGTGTGTGTATTTATGTGTGTGGGTCTGTGTGTATGCGTGTGTGTCTGTGTGTGTGTGTGTGTCTGTGTGTGTGTGTTTATGTGTGTGGGTCTGTGTATGTGTCTGTGTGTGTGTGTTTGTGTGTGTGTGGGTCTGTGTGTGTGTTTGTGTGTGG